TATAAGGCTATCCAAGAATTATTACGTATTGTTTTTTTTTATAAATAAACATTTGATCTATCAGTTTCATCAAATATGGAAGAGTGTATAATTTGTTACGAAGAAATAAGTGATACGAACCTTGCATCTGTGATGCTCTTTTGCAATTGTCAATCGATGTGTGGCAAATGTATCTCCAAATGGTTTAAGGAGAATCATACCTGCCCATTGTGTCGTGTGGAGGATCCCAATAGACAAAACGATCACCAATTGAGACGTCAGATGAGACATCAGAGGATGTTACAAAGATTGAGAAGAAGATATCAGAGATTATCTCGTGAATTGAAGATAGAAGCATATGTTGGATTACGAGAGCTTCGTGAGTATGAATATGATTTGGGAGTAATGCAAATGATGTTGCAAGCATCGTAGAGGGAGTTGCAAGATTTTAAGAATGCATTGGTGGGAGAACTTGAAAGGAGGGAGATGGAGCTCAAGAGATATCACATAACATGAATGTTAAAGTTATGTTTATACGTTTTTGTTATTATTTTTTTATGTTTGGTAAAGTATTGTAAGGATAATATGAGTTTGGCAAATTTTTGATAACATGATTATATTTAAGATGTATAAATAAACAAGGTTTTATTTTTTCGTGATTTAAACATGACATTGAATTATGATATTCTTTATATTATATTCAGACTCTTGTCCTTCAAGGATCAATTAAAATTTCGACTTGTTAATAAAGAATGTAATGAGATTTATACACGTCATCTTGATGATGTTCATTCATTGGATCCAAGTAGACACGTATTCTGTAGTATTAATGTACCTCCCCAAATTTTCGAATTTATACATGTTTCCAAAAAGAATGTCATATTCAACGTTAGTGGAAAAGAGGTTCGAAGAAAGATTCTTTATAATAAAAGGATGGTGCCATATTGTAGAGTTCCAAGTTATGGTCACTCGATGATACGCAAGTTAAATCGAAAAGATGTGGATTCCTTGGGTAACGAAAATTGTCAGGGATATAAAAAGTTCGATTATTGTGTCGATAGTTTGTGTTTTGATTCCAAAAAATGACTTGGTACATTATATATACTTAAACTTTGCGAAGATTGTGATAAGGTTAATAATGGTAGATGTACATATAGTTATGAGAAATTCAGATTTAGTGTAAAGATTTCACAATGTTTCATTCATTTTTATAATATGAATGATAATCTTATACTCAAACCCGATGGATTTAAATGTTACTGTGATAGATTTGTAGAACATAGAAATCCTGATGGTTTGATTAGTACTTATGATTTGGATGGATTTAGTGATTATATTATGGATATCAGTACCATCAAGTCGTGTCGATTTTATTATAATGATATCAGATTATAATTTCAATAAATGTTAAATTCGAGATTTATTATATGATAATAATTACATGATTATTAAAAAAAGTGGTTATTTCAAAAATGTTACGAGAACTTTATTTCCATCATATTTCGTGATCACATTTAAAGCATAAACTTATAGTTCCATTACCATTGGTTAAAAGGGATATAATAACATGGTCGTAATTATCACATTCCATGCATATATTTTTACCAAAATTTTCTACAAATTCCTGAATTATCAGGTAGAGGATAACTCCTCTATATCTTGAATGTATGCAATAATATTGATGAGGTGTTTTATTAGATCTCATAAGTTTCGATTCTTCATGGTATCCAGGAAAACGGACCATGAATTTTGTATAGTTTTTAAGATGGGACATGTTTTCGTTGTAATAAATTTTATATTGACATTTATCACCAATATATCCGAATTTGTATATGTCATGTTCGACGGTCCAACAGCATGGAGTGAAGTATTGATTGAAGAATACATACTTATTATATTTTATGTAAATAGCATAGAATTTACGATTAACTAATTTGTAAGATTCACGATCAGATATTTCAGTGAGAAATAAAAAGATATGTGAGTTAAGTTCGACAGTACGGAAAACTTGATCTTGAGCCATTATTGAAGACATGATGATTTACTGAATAATTTATAAAAATTTTAAGTTTACCAAACTTTGGATAATGTGATCCAACAAAAGATAACTATATAAGGTTAACTACGATTTGATATATTATATAATGATGTTGATTGTATCATGTATATTGAAAATATGTATAAACAGAGATACAAAAAACAACCGCTGATCCTAAATTTCCTAAAAAATTTCCTTTTTTGGCAATTTTCTTGGAAAAACCAGAAGCCAGCCACTACAC